TGTTTTATAATGGATGAGTCCTTGGCACCCTGTGCCTCAGTTTCCCTATCTGTAGACATGGCAGAATTTGATTTTTTTTAAATAAGTTTGACAGAGATCAGTTTATTTTGAAGCATTTATTTTCCAATTTTTAATCGATTTAAAATTTCACAGTTGTGGGAAATTATGGTGGGGTGTCACAAAACATGTGTGGGTGGGTGGAGGGAAGAAAATAATTAATGACCGTAGATGTTGCGATTCAAAAAGTTGAAGTTTGATAACTGTTAAAAACACAAATTGTCAACATAAATATCCTTAAATCAACCTCTAATAAGTTCTCAAGCAACATTTTTCTTACTATCTGGAAATTTCAATGGAAATATTTGTCAGTTTGTGTGTGTACCGTGAAATCAACTTCTACTGATAAAAATCTAATCCTGACAAGCCTACCTGGCTCTAAAATGGAAATAATGATACCTACCATCCTTTGAACTCTATAGATGAAAAGTGTTCTAAATATAAAGACAGATGGGAACTGAAATAAGTCGATCGGGTATATTACAACATTTGGGGTAAGGTGCTGTCCTATGAACACATCAAAGAAATTTCATGTGTGGAAGTACTTGCTTGACATAGAGAACAAAACATGTGGAAGGGAGGCCACTTTTATTGTTATCCATCCCTGTGGCATGTTATTTTGAATTACTTTTTAAAAGGAAGAGAGAGAGAAGTACTGGACTGGAGCCTGGGTACAGCTACTGCCAAGACTGATGTCCTAGCAGCCAACCTCTGCATACATTAATTGCTTCTCTTGAATGACTATTCAGCTAGATCCATTCCTGCTGGTGCAGCAGATTGAAGTTGTAACCAAGTGGGATTTGCCCTTGCAGAAAGGCTGGCAGTGTTTGCATCTCTCTCCTTCTCTGAGGTAGCCACTGGGCTAAGAAGAGATCTAGTTCTAGGCTGCGTGGAAGGTGAGGCAAGACAAAGGTTAGGTGAGTCAGCAAGTCTGGACTGTGCCAGACAGCTCTGGGTCCCTTGTAAGTTGGGAGTGTGGCAGACAACTTTCCCACTACTGCTCCTCCCACCCTGTAGACTTTAGGTCACTGGGACCCAACAGGTTTGGGTTAAATGTATGGAATTTGCCAAAACACAGGACTGACTACAGCTCACTCGCTGTAGATATTACAGTTACAATTACAGACCCAGATAGAGAGGTTTATTAGAAACAGAGTGAATATATGGGCCTGACCACTTATCAGGAGAACACATTTTATTGCCTATGGGGATGTGGTATGTTCTGTTGCTGTGGGTGCATGATTCTCTTTGGAGATAATAATGGTTCTATGTGTGATGGTTATAGAATTACAATTGCAGAACAGGTGGGGAGAAAATGCTTTTGTTGAAACTCACTCAGTACAACATCTAGCTTGACCCAGAGCCTGCAGAGGCTATATTGCTTCTGGAGTCTTGCATAGAAGCTATCTGGATTCTAACTGTGAAGAGATGCAAGAGAAAGAGGAAGGAGAGTTACCAAGAGAAGAAAGTCAATTTGTTGGAGGTTTGAGTCCAAAACTTGTGAGTATGGGAAAGCTGGGGTCCTTCTTATACAGGCCCCACTCCCACAAAGTACATCCATGCTTAATGTTCAAAATGTGCTTAAACATTTTGCTGGATGGGTTGATAGCTGTTGAAAGTAGCCGTACCCTCAAAACCATGTTACCGTCCCCTCTATTTTATTTTCTGGGTTTTGAGGGTTTTTTTTAACTTCCTTGCCTCAGGGCAGGTGACTCAAACCTCACCTATTGCTCTTTCTTCATCTTAGAAGCAGCATTTCCTGTCTGTGATTGGGAAATGGTGTATCATTTCTATCAAGCTGGATTTTCTCTCTCACTTTACTGCTGTTGTTACCTTTCCATCTCTATTATGTATAGGGCCCTACCAAATTTATGGTCCATTTTGGTCAATTTCATGGTCATAGGATTTTAAAAACCATAAATGTCATGATTTCCGCTATTTACATTTGAAATTTCACAGTGTTGTAATTGTAGGTGTCCTGAGCCAAAAAGGAGTTGTGATGGAATCGCAAGGTCATTGTAGGTGGAGTTGTGGTACTGCTACCCTTACTTCTGTGGTGATTCTGGTGGCGGCGCTGCCTTCAGAGTATCTGGGGAATGGTGGCTGCTGGCAGAGAACCCAGCTCTGAAGGCAGAGCCGCTGCCAGCAGCAGCACAGAAGTAAGGATGACATGGTATGGTATTGTCACCCTAACTTCTGCGCTGCTGCCTTCAGAGCCGGGCCTTCAGTCAGCAGCCACCACTCTTTGGCCACCCAGCTCTGCAGGTAACAGCACAGAAGTGAGGGTGGCATGGTGTGGCACTGCCATCAGAGCTGGGTGCCCTGCTAACAGCTGGTGCTCTTCAGCTGCCCAGATCTGAAGGCAGCGCTGAAGTAAGAGTAACAATACCACAACCCCCATAAAATGACCTTGTGAGCCCCTGCAACTTCCATTTGGGTCCGGACCCCCAGTTTGAGAAACGCTGGTCTCCCCCGTGAAATCTGTATAGTATAGGGTAAAAGCACACAAAAGACCAGATTTCACGGGGGGAGACCAGAGTTTATGGTCTGTGACATGTTTTTCATGGCCATGAATTTGGTAGGGCCCTAATTATGTGTCCCCACTGTTTTCTGTCTTTTCTTCCCCTTGCACACCTGTTCCTCTTCTCCCCCACATTACCATTCTCCTCATCCTACACTGTCTCAGTCCTCTCACAGTACCAACGCAATGGATGGGTCAGAGAGTGTTAATCTTCTTTTATCCTAATCCCCTTGACCTCTCCACCTCCAAAAAGCTGTTGCAGAAACTACAGCTCTAGAACCTTCAGGCAGTGGTACATAGGCTGGTAGTGTGATTGTTTCCCCAAAAACTAGTCAGATATATGGACCACTCTGGTAATGCACTAGCGTATTGTATTGAAGGGGGCTGGCTGAACAAAAGGCCATGCGTATGACTTTGTGAAGGCTAAAACTATAACAGGGTTAAAAAAAGAACTAGATAAATTCATGAAGGATAGGCCCATCAATGGCTATTATCCAAGGTGATCACAGATACAACCAGATGCTCTGAGTGTTGCTAGCCTCTGTTTGCCAGAAGCTGGGCTGGATGACACGGGATGGATCACTTGATGATCCCCTTTCTGTTCATTCTCTCTGAAGCATCTGGCACGCGCCACTGTCAGAAGACAGGATATGGGGCAAGATGGACCATTGGTCTGACCCAGTATGGGCATTCTTATCACTGCAGTACTTTATTCTCCCTGTGGAGAGAAGGCTATGTATCCAGAATATGCACTTCAGCATGGTGATACGAAGCATTTAGTGCATAGTCAGGCAGTGTGGCTGCATGAACATGTTCTCATGACAGGAAAGTGTACTTTTGTATTTCAAGGAGCTATTTGCTCAGCCACAGATTTGATCTAAGGAAAGAGGTTTCTCACTGAGCTACCAGAGCTGTGCTCCACAGGCTTCAGCATGGTACAGAGATAAAAACATTGTGCCTCTGACCTACAGAATCTGAAAATGGAATGTCTGCATAACAGTCTTGAGTTTTATTCCAACGTAGGAGAGCATGTGGACATTCCTAATATGAAGCAGAGAGCTGAATCCTGCTTTTCTTACCCATATTTTTAAATACTTCTATTCTGGTAGCTTCTAAAGGGTTGGCTATAAATTTAATATCAAAACTGGTTTTCAGTGGAAATCTAGGTTTTTGCTTTAACTTGGTGAAAAAATGAAATTTTCCTCAGAAACCAAACATCCAAAACCCCAGATATTTTGATTTGGCTATGCTGCTGCAGTGCCTCCTGGGAATTGTCACTTAGCTGCAATTTAAAGACACAAACAGACCAAGGGCATGGGCTACAACATACTAGTTCTCTCACATGCAAATAGTACCAGTGATTTCATTGGGATTACTTACATAGATAAAGACTGCTCATCTGAATAAAAGTTAAAAGATCAAGCCCATGTCACAAGCACTTATCCATATTGTATATCACATCCCATGTAACCAGAGAATTGCTCTGATTTCACAGAAGTCCCCATGTAAAGTATGTTTATGTAAGCACTCAGATACCATAGTGAAGGGCCTCCATAGTGCTGAGTAAAATGAAGATTTTGTTTCTTTTTTCTTCTCACAGATTGACCATTTCTGCTGAATGCCCCATGCAGCTCGAAGACTTCCCCATGGATGCACATGCTTGCCCGCTAAAATTTGGAAGCTGTAAGTTCCTGTCACAATTAAGAATATTGAATATAGTTTTGATTTGGCTTGTCATTTTCAGCCAGTACAGTTTGTGTGCATCTTTCACTAGATATGGTTAATCTGATCCCACTCAATCTTCCCCCCGAGCTCTTAATCTCCAATAGATGGCAAACTATGTGTAGCACTGCTACTTTCCAGATCATGTATCCCTCTTGGCAACCTGTGTGTCACAAGGATGACAGGTAGTGGGGGTGTTTTAACAATGTCTATTCAGTACTAGATGCAACCAAATCACTTTTTTAATAATTGTGGTTTTTACATGTATGGAAAAGTGGAACTTTCAGTGTCAACTGTGCTCTTACAGGGTTTACATATGTACTATTTGGTCATTTTCTATTGACTACAAATATACAGTACAGATATCTAGAGGTTAGCAAAACAGGAAAATCTGCCCATCTTGTCTTTGATAAATCTAGTCCTATATCTTATTACATGAACCTGCGTACATACACATATAAACATTATACATACACGCACACTACTGTTTGTATCTACAGACACACACATTATCCTCTAAATTGCATGTTGAAGTGCTGATTTTTCTTGATACCCTGAATCTGTAATCTACCATAATGCTGTCCTGCCAGCAGCTTACTTTAAAAATAACCTTAGGGGATTGTATGGCTATATTTAAATACAAAGCTCTTAATTAAAGTACAGACTAGGCTACTAGAGTAGACATTTTTTATTTCAGTAATCGAAACGCAGATTCCAGGTGCAACAAAAGTCTCCCAAGGCTTTTGAAGTTACCAGTCAGGGTTTTTATCGAGTCTCTGGAACAAGTTAACTCCCTCCCACCATATCACTCCCCCCCATATCTTTTTTTCTAAACATCATATCAATGTAAATTCTCTAATCCTACCAAGATTAATCTTTGCTTTTATCGGCTGTATGTGTGCTTGTTTAATATTGGTTATGCATTGTCTTCTTGTGATCATGTGATAACAAGTAAAAATACTATATACAGTAATGATTACCAAACTTAGTCACTTGATTTCCCTTCCCTTGAAGTGCAAAAAAGACTCAGTTTCATCTGTGTAGACCCAAATGTTTCTTACAGGGTCACTATAGGTTCAAGTGCATCAGTTGAGTGCAATGATGTTATCCTATGACAATATAATTTGAAGTCCTGTCACTCACTTGCATTACAAGATCCTAACTTAAAGGTTTAAGAGCAGACTATCGATTTCACTCCAAACTCATAAAATGTGATATGTGCATTCACATGAAAATAGGATTTGTGTGAGAGAAGCTAATTACATGCTGCAATACAAATTTGGAAAGAATTCCACCCTCTAAGTTATTCCCAACGTCATGGTATCTAAGCACCCCACAATCTTTCATGTATTTATCCTCATAATGCCCCTGTGAGGTAGGGAAGTGCTACTATCCCCATTGTACAGATGGGGAACTGAGGCATAGAATGTCAAAGTGACTTACCCAAGATAACCAAGGAAATTTGTGATAAAGCAGGGAATTGAACCTACGTTTCTCAACTCTTAAACTAGTACCCTAACCACTGGACCATTCTTCCTCTCCCATTAAGGGTTTCAGATGTTTGCTAATGTTCTTTGATATAGTGACAGCTATGGCTTTTAAAGTGAAACCTGGTTAGCTATTAGTTCATAATGTAGAAGTATGCCATTGGGTAGATTTAAGGGCCTTACTGAATTTACAGTAAAGAATCCCTATGTGCATGCTGCAGAGTGTAAGAAGTACCTTTATACGGTAACAAGTATTTAGTTTAGCAGAGGCTCCAATTCAGCAAAGCATTTAAGCATATACTTAAAGATAAGCAAGTGCAGTGCTTAAGTGCTTTGCCAAAGCAGGTCCAATATGATTCAGTTTACTTCCCCTCTTTCCCCTCTCCCCCACCCTGACAGAGGTTCAAAAATGTAAATAAACCCATAAGAAGGCAGGACAAAAAGTTATGCCACTGGTTTGAGTAAAGCCCACAAAACATTTAGAAATAAGTTTTAAAAAATGCACTTGGAGGTTGCACTTATCTAAATGTAAAGTTATATGTCTGATGTGCCAAGAAGTGCAGGGGGTGGTGGGGGGCGAGGGCTTTTGGCAAATAAATAATTTTAAGCTTACAAAGAAAAATAAAGGTGGCATTATTTATTACTTTTGTGACAAAGGCCACTCTAACTCTTACCACTTGACACATTTAATTTGTCCTCTGCAAGTCATCTTCAACATGTCCCACTGTGTCTAGGCATTGAACCGTTTGGTGTGTGACACAGCTCACTGTAATACCTAGATATATAGGGGCAAGTTATGGGAAGTCTTTTAGCATTCTGAATGTCTTTATTGTAGATGAAACACCACCTAGGCACTTGTGAGAGCTGTATTGTGATTTAATATGCAAGTGCTTGGAGAAGGGGCAGCCAACAGATCAGGCTTTACTGGGTTAGTCTAGTTGTGTTTTCAAGAAACAAAATATTGTTACCAGCGATAATAAGACAGGTTTGTATTAAGTTATCCTCTTCAAGACTGCTTTACACTTCCACAGGGTCCACAAGGATTTCTTGCTGAGCCTGCTATAAGCAATATACACCCAGTCTGCTTTCCTCTTCATCTTTTCCCTAAAGACATTTTTAAATGGCCAGGAGAAGGAGAGCTTGGAATATAATAGAAGTAAATTTTAAACACCTGAACAACAGAGTAGGTTGAGGAGCTGGGGAAAGAAAGAATGCTTACTAGTCAGAGGGCAGACAAAGTAGCAGGAAAGCAAAATGAAAGAGTGATCACGTGGACAGGTGAGCAGGAGAGTCAATTCTGAGAAGCAATCCATAGGTAATCAGGGTGAGCAGGAGGTTATTGCTTTTCTGGTTGCATGTATGTACATTGCACTGCCGAAATTCTGCAAGGAAAAGTGTGAAATGTGGCAGGACATTTCCTTCAATATTAAAAAACCCTGTGTTCCTGACAAAGAGAAACCTTGTTGTTTTATTTTTCATGTGGTTGATTTATAGTTAGGTTTGAATCATAGCATGATACAATCATAGGGTTAGAAGGGACTAAAAGGTTCATCTAGTCTAACCCCCTGACAAGATGCAGGATTTGTTTACCTAAGTCAGATGGCTAAAGTTAGATTCTACAAGACCCTAGGATCAGAAGTTAAAGAGAAAGGATAGTGCAGTAGTTAGTCTATCACCTGGGGTTGAGTCCCTGTTCTGCTACAGACTTCCCGTGGGACCATGGGCACGTCACTTAGCCTTTCTGTGCCTGAGTCCACATCTGCAGAACAGGGATGAATGTACTTTCCTACCTGAGAGGTGTGTTGTGAGGACAACTATGGATTGTTAGGTTCAAAGAGGCAACAGTTATGGGGTTATATAAGTACCCGAAGTAGATGGAAGTTCACTCTGTAGCAACAAGATATTTTGCAGGAGTAATTCAAAGTAAGGGATGGCTATAGAGTACGAGGGAAAAGGTGTATAATGTTACATAATAAGCACCACAAGTGTTGGGAACCTATACCTTCCTGGATAAGTCCCATTTTTAGGCACATCTGCAACCCACAAAATTTCTGCTCAGCTGCTACCACACCCGGTAGGCACCTAAACTAACTCAGCACCCAAGTTTTTGCTTGTGGGCATGTATGCTGTAGCCTCACCATAGGCGCTCAGATACCTATGATTTGCTGCCTAAGCCCCAGCACAATTAAAACCAGGAAAGATAAACTTTCATCCGCCTATCTCACTTGGGGGGCCTGACCTGGTAGGCATTCTCAGTCTGGCTACTGGACCAAGCTCCTCAGGTGAGTTCACACAAAATGGCCTGGGAAGGAGACCCTCCTTGTAACCTTTAGCCCAGTGGTTAGAGCACTCACCTGGGCTATGAGAACCCCCCACTTCAATTCCCCATCTGCCTGAGGGGGAGAAGGGATTTCAACAGGGATCAGCTGCCTCTCAGATGAGTGCCCTAACCAGGGCCGGCTCCAGGCACCAGCCTGGCAAGCAGATGCTTGGGGCAGCCACTCCAGAGAGGGGCGGCAGGTCCAGCTATTCGGCGGACGGTCCCTCACTCCCGCTCAGAATGAAGGACCTCCCGCCAAATTGCCGTCGCAGATCGCAATCGTGGCTTTTTTTTGGGGGGGGGGGGGCTGCTTGGAGTGGCCAAAACCCTGGTGCCGGCCCTAACCAGTGGGCTGCAGAGTCACTCCCACTGCCCCCACTTTATATTTAATACTGAAGTTGTTTCACTTTAATTATTTGGACCAGTGAAAGAGTTAGAATGATTCTATAGCCTAGTGGTTAGGGTACTCACCTAGGAGGGAGCTGATCCTTGTTCCCCTCTCAGGCAGAGAAGGGATTTGAACCAAGGGTCTCCCACATCTTGAGCAAGTACCGGCTCCACCAGGTTATAAAGCAGGTACTGCTCCTCTTCCCCCCAGGTTTTATTTCAGACCCCCCCCCACCCCAACTTAGACCATGGAACCCCTATCTTCCCCTAGTTTGCAAATGGCATGCGGAGATAGCCACCTAACTCCAAGCTTCAGGAATGTGCCTCTCTCTGTGAGAGGGGCAGGGCTTAGCATATTCCCCATTTCATTGGCCTCTCTCATTGCTTGCTTAGTTGGCTATCCACCTAGCATGCTGGCTTGGGTGGAGCACCTTCTAAGGTACCTATATATCCCCATTCATTGTGCAGGGAGTCAAGGTGCCGAACTCAGTCTGTGTGAACCGGAGCATTGTTCCTGTGATTTTCTAGGTACTTTTAAATTGGGCGCTGCAATGCTCAGCATCACAGTGCTTAAGCCCTGCAAGAGAGTCAAAAATACCAGAGTTCAAGTAATACCCTTTAGTATGTGAATACTCCTAGCCTCCTTGCGCCACATCTCCATATTCAAAGTAAGGGTGTTTATGAACCACATGGCAGCAATCTACAATTTAAAAAAAAAAAGGAGATTGAGGATAAACCTGGGAATGCAGACTCTAGAGGCCAAGTCC